GTGAAAGTTGTCACCTGCTGGCGTGGTGACCAGGTGATTTGGGCACCTAGGAGCACGTGACCACTTGTTCAACCATGTTCGATTGGGAATAAAGGAGGAACGCTGCATCGCAGCCTTTTCGGACCAAAACCAGTCGACTCAGCGTCCAAAAGACTACAACATATGGGCCAATCGCGGTCATCCGTGCTTTTATAAGAACGAAATGGCGCTTTTAGTGACATTTTGCATACAAATCCCCATCTCGTAGGGCGCAGTCACCCAGTTTCGGTGGAAGTGCGCGAGTTCGATTGGGATTCAAGTAGGAAGGGAGCGTCTCAGCTTCCTCGGACCAAGACCATTCGACTCAGCACCCCGAAGACTACAACTGGTGAAATTTTAATTTTTGCCTTAACTTCCCCTTTAAAACAACCAAAACATCAATATGCACATTTATCCAGACACGCTCTCACATACACACACACGCATGTGCGTGCCAAACGTACAAAACGTGGACACGTGTACACCAAGAAGAGAGAATACAAGGAAGTGGGGTTTGCCATAGTTTTTTTTTTTTCAATTTTGTCTGATAAATATTTACGAGACTTTGCATCGAGCGACACCGTGGATAACATTGAGCCAAGAATTATGCAATAAACCAGAAGAGATATCTCTTCACAAGTAGGCAAATAAATGCGTAGGTGCCCGGCAACAGCAATCGGGCGAGTCACAGCAATGTACGTATTGCAACTTCAATGATACACATACACGGTTGACCACCCATGCCTCCATTTTCGGCGGGTCAACCACATGGTGGCCCGGCAACTTCAAACGGGAACACACCGATACAACATACACAGTTGACCACCCATGCCTCCATTATCGGCGGGTCAACCACATGGTGGCCCGGCAACTTCAAACGGGAACACACCGATACAATAGACACAGTTGACCACCCATGCCTCCATTATCGGCGGGTCAACCACATGGCGGCCCGGCAACTTCAAACGGGAACACACCGATAAAATAGACACAGTTGACCGCCCATGCCTCCATTTTCGGCGGGTCAACCACATGGTGGCCCGGCAACTTCAAACGGGAACACACCGATACAACATACACAGTTGACCACCCATGCCTCAAACCGGCGGGTCAACCACACAACAACATACAGGTGTCACAACACTGAGACAGTACAGCACAACACTGAGAGGCAAATGCATTTGACCCTCCCAAAAACCAGTGTTTACGACCAAGCATTTCTCACGGCATCGCTCATTAGCATAACTTCCTGCAAGTAACCATGGCAAACCCCTAAGTGATACCCACAGAGCCACACCGGCACAAGGACTGCACAACAAGCGGAAGGCACAACACTGTACAACACTACAAATGTACCTCACTTCTGTTCTCAACACCACATGGGCGTGGGCTGTTCCAGTCTTTGCTGCTAGCCATTGCACAGAGGGTATACCGGCTGCACGCCTGACATAGTGATCGGATGCTGCACTTCGCCAGCAGCCTGCACAGCATATGGCTGCTTCACAGACACTTGTACTCCGGTGAGCTATGAGTGTGGCCCCGCCAATGCGCACAGAATGGGAGCTCACCCGGTTGCAGTTGAGGATCCTAGTCGAGAAAACTCGGGAGAAGTAGCCGCCGTCGACGAACACAAACACTGGCCGTGAGCTGCCGGCAGGAGCGGTCAGGGACCGGAACTCGGCCATAGCCGAAACTGGGTACATCAGATTATGTGTGCGCAAATACCGGGCTTAAAGATCTGAGTCGCTCATGAGATCATTGCTGGCAGCAATCAGAGCGGCGAGTTCAGCGGAGGAGTTGGCACCAGGCACTGGTTGGCTGTGGAAGCCAGTTCGGATGTACCGGTATTACGCTTTCCGGTAAATTTCCCTTTGGACTTTGGCCAGGCTGTCAGTCAGAGCTACATATCCAGTGGTGGCTGTGTGCAATCCCTGGTGTTCAACATACATATACATCTACATGTACAGCATTTTCATTATTCTTGTCCAGATTCCAGTAGTAGTGCAGTACTCGGTTTTCACGATTGCTCCACACACAGTCATATTATGTACATGTCCAGTGTAGTGCAGCACCTATCATGATGTGTTGTCACATACTTTTACACAAGCATACAAATCTCCGTACAAGGATTACCGGTACACAGGTACATACGCACAATAGGTACTAGCATAGCCCAACATACATCAAGGTCATTGCCAGCAAGTCAGCCCCCCAAACCAAAACATCTTCATACGCCACTGCATGGATGAGTCGGTCCCCGGCTCCATGTACTAACCTTCACACTCGTCTCCACTCAACACTGCAGTATTGATACAGGTAATCAACTTTGACTGCGTGTCACGGTTGGAAGAACAACGAGTCTAGAATCTACTCCAGGACATGTAGAAGACTAAACTTCATTCAAGGTAGTTAGTTCGATTTGATCCGCTAGCACTGTCCAAAAGACTCGCAGTGTCCGCTCAACTCGTATACGGACAGTCGGACTAATGCCTGAAGTATTGGTGAGCGATGGTCTGCGCAAGGAACGTTAGTTACACTTACAAAGTACGCGTTCAAAGTTTCAAACAGTGGCTGGGCTTCTACTTGGCGATTGTTCAACTGGTTCTAGAAGTCAATGAGCTAGCGTGCAACGAAATGAGTTCCTAACTCTGCGGTGGCCTGCAGATCGACGACTACCACTCTTATCAGACTGGTTCATTACAGTTGTACAGGAATCCAAGACAGAAAACTAAAAAAAACTATCTCGGACCAGCTCCAAAGGCAAAGGCAAAGGCAAAGGCTTCACGTCCGTGACAACACTGACTAATCAACGAGTGAATCCACCGCCGGGCACCGACACTGGGCGACAGTCCAAGGCAAGTGGGCTGTGCTGGAGTCTAGTGGAGATCAACATGATCAAGCGCCACGGAAAAATACAGTACGTCCGACGTCACCATGATCACGGTTCCTTCGATGCGCATAGCAACGGTGCATGCACACTGCACTAAAAATCGCAAAAGAAATCGTCCTCTCCACAGAACCAGTTGCCAGTGGCAACACATGCTTGACTTTGATTCTTCTTTGTTGTTTTCAGTGTTTTCTCTTTCTCATTGATCTCGACAGTGTTGTGGTGCTCGTTACCTTACTGAGACATCTCTTGTGACCGTGGTCAGTGTCACCAACGGCACAACGAGGCAGAGCGCCGGGATCGAGCGTGTAAAAACGTTCTGCATTAGCAGCTCCTGTAGAGATCTCGTATAGGATGTGAGCTCAAGACGGTAAGCTGCTGAAAAAGTGGAAAGATACGTGTATCTACAAACTCTCTCACTCTTCAATGAACACTTCATCCATCGATTGGCGCTATGCATTTCGTGTTGTGGTCACAGATAATCTGGGCAAATGTAAAAGTACCAACTGGAGAGTGCTATGTTGTTAGGGACGTGTCCCAAAGTGTCATCACATGGCTGTGGAGACTAGTACACACCTGGAGGAATATTTCTACAACAGTCATACGGAGTGATATGGAGTACAGATGGATGGATAGAAAAGAAAACTGAGATGATGGGAAGTAAGTACATGTCATGTAAGTTGATTGTGTGGAAGAAATTTGAAACAAGATAAAATAAAAGTTTCACTCAAACATACATGTAACATCCTGATTAGTATTCCATCTTCATTTTTCCAGTTAGTGGCACTCCACACGCTTCGATTACCTGGTGTATGTGTGTGTGTGTGTGTGTGTGTGTGTGTGTGTGTGTGTGTGTGTGTGTGTGTTGTGTGTATGTGTGTGTGTGTGTGTGTGTTTGTGTGTATATGGGCACTCCAGTCTCCCCGGAGGTGTGGGTTCGAATCCCACCGCTGCCACCAGTGTTAGGTCCCGGCTAATGAAGTCCCCTCACACCAAAACACAAGAGTTTTATAGTATTGAATTATGCAAGTACAAGAGTATAGACAAGAAGGAGAACAGGACAACGACAACTCAAGACTAGTGCCAGCTAGTTCGGTTGGTAGGTACACTTATGCCTGATTGTGTTGGGTCTGTTGCCAACAGGCTCGGCTGCTTGAAGGTGTAATGGTACCTGCCACCTTTGTTGGTTCCAGGGTTCATATACTTTCTATTTGAAGTATACATACCTGTTAACCATGGACTGCTTCTGGCTAGATGAACTCTTGTGTAATCAATGGTGCTAGTGAAGCTTATATGAGATCCACTCTGATTTAGCCACCCACACTAGTAGCAAGTATTACCTTCACTGGGGGCAGGGGTAACTGCAGTTGGATCCCGGGACGGATACCCTGATTCCGTCAATCCTTTTTCTGCAACTTGTCCTCGCCCACTTACTGAGGTGTGGTGAGCCCATAAGTGGGATCATTTTCAAGTCCACCCAGAGTTTTGGGGATTTCAGGGGGTTTCAGCCATTGGCGGTTCAATAGGGCTTAAAAGTGCTACGTCACAGCATAGCAACAATTTCAAAAATTCAAAAACTGGATCCACTTGGATCCAGTTTTTGGATGGATCCAAGCACATTTCAAGCGGTCTTACCCACAGCATGGTGATGTAGCCAGTGAAACTGACTGATTTGGCTAGTGGGGGCGGGGTTACAACTGGTCGCGAAATAAAAGTCACACCTGCATGCGACATGAGGGGGTTGCTGTGCACCCACATACTTAGGCAATAGCAAAGTCACACCTTAGTGGATCCAAAAATAGAAATCTGATGTCAACTTACTACTCCCTGGCCGTTTTGACGTCATCACTTTCAAGCCCTATAGCCAATAGAGTCATCTTTCCAAGATTCCTTTTGAGTCTCTCTCCCCTCTCCCGGGGAGACCCACGTGACCCAGTTTTGGCAGTGAGCAACAAGTACAAGTGTGTGTGTGTGTGTGTGTTTGTGTATGTGTGTGTGTGGGTATGCTTGCGTCCATAGCCCTTCCAAAGACCCTTGGAGTGCCTGAGGACATTGGTCACATCGTACGGGAGCGGCGTTTACGCTGGCTTGGACACGTGACACGGATGGAAGATGACCGGTTGCCCAAGTGTGTTCTCTTCGGCGAACTGCCTGCCCCGCGTCCCGCGCATGGTCCAGGCAAGAGGTGGAGGGACGTCATTATGGATGACGTTTCGTCGGTTGAGCCACCAGTACCAACATGTGGATGGTACTGTTGAGTTCGAAACAGGACGACTGCCGACATATCCAGACATTACAACGGGAACAGGTAGGTTGGGGGAACGACATTTATTATACTAGTAGACGACGAGACAAGAGACCAAGACGAACGAAACGACTACATTGAAGAGTGAGAAAAGAGAGAGCGAGATCAAGTCTAAACGGCAAGATAAAGGGCCTGGGTAGCTATGGCAAATATGGGCGCGCAAGTAGCTACCCAGGCCAACGGAGCAAAAGGAGACAAAAGGTGCGTACGCAAGTGCATGCAGGCCAGCTAGAAAATGTACGGGAGGTGGTACCTAACATACCACCCCTCCATGAAAAAATCCCGCGTCCTCGCGGAGAGAAAAAAAAAGAGAGAAAAAGATTTTAAAAAACGACTGAAGGAGAAAAAACACACACAACGCACGGGCCTCACAAAAGTGTGGACTAAAAAATGCACTACAGATCATGACAACCGTCAACGTTCCTGTACTACTCATACTATAGTGTGTACATTGCCAATAACAACGGGCCCAAACACCCCTTCAAAACATGGCACAAAAAATAACTATTGGAGTTCAACGAGGGACTTGAATTGTATTCTGATGACTAGTATTTTGCACGGCTAATAGAGCCTAGTTACACTTTAATATACGACATAAATAAGAGAGCGTGGCTCACCATGATCGGACCCCTAATATTAATGAAGGACACCCCCGCGCACACACACTACAAAAAAAATTCACGAAAATAAATTTGACGAAGAAGGAACGCATACAAAAAAAAAGAAAGAGAGAAATGTAGCTGACCTGCATGGCTTGAACGACACGAGGTTGACATCAGACGAGACGAGGTTGATAGAGACGAGACGAGGTTGGCGTAGGAGAGACGAGACTGACATGGACGAGACGAGGTTGACATAGACGAGACGAATGGTGGTTGAGGACGGCTGGGCATGGGATGATCTCAGGGTCGTGGGTCGATCAATAATCGGGCGCCAATGTTGAGTTCGAAACAGGACGACTGACAACGGGAACAAGTTAGTGGGAACGACATTTATTAGAGACGACGAGACAAGAGACCAAGACGAACGAAACGACTACATTGAAGAGTGAGAAAAGAGAGAGCGAGATCAAGTCTAAACGGCAAGATAAAGGGCCTGGGTAGCTATGGCAAATATGGGCGCGCAAGTAGCTACCCAGGCCAACGGAGCAAAAGGAGACAAAAGGTGCGTACGCAAGTGCATGCAGGCCAGCTAGAAAATGTACGGGAGGTGGTACCTAACAGTACGGTGCAGCCCAGAACAGTCCGGAGTGGCGTACAATTGCCCGTCGACCACCCAAGGCACCCTCTGCTGCTGGCTACGGTTGCGCCTGCGGCCGCATGTTCCGTCAAAGCGGCGACCTGAAACGCCATCAGTCGTTCTGTTGTGGACTGGAGAAATAACTATGCGCTATCATTGCTACGCAATGGGCAAAGTCAAGGTGTGTGTGTGTGTACAGCATGTGTGTGCGTGTATGTGTGTGTGTACCGTATATGTGTGTGTGTGTGTGTGTGTGTGTGTGTGTGTGTGTTTGCACAGTATGTGTGTGTGTGTATTGTGTGCCACGAACCTTTCTGCCGGTTGCTGCCATATTAGTCCTTTCTCTATCATTGCCTCTGGCAATGGGCAAGTTCAAGGTTCAAGTATGTGTGTGTGTATTGTCATGCACACACCCGTGTGTGGTTGTGTTGGCTAGACAAGGTGACCGTGCATGGGCACGAGGTTTCCGTCATGTCGATGGTACATGTATTGGAATTACGTACCGTATTTTCTGGAGACAACGCCGCACTTTGAACACTCAAATTTCACCCAAAAGAATGGCTTATATTCCAATGACCAAAATAACAGTGATCATCAAATAGATGTCTGTATTTCATGGCAAAAAAATGTGGGGGGGGGGGGGGGAGGGGGTGCCGCTTATACTCCGGAAAATACAATACTGTATGACTTGTAATGTAAAATATAAAATTCTCTTAACCTTGTTAGTGGAATTTGTGTCATTACTCAGAGGGTATGGGTTGCAACGCCTTGTTGGTTATTTGTAGGAACAAAAAGTTACGCTATAATGTCCACTAACACCACCAGTTACTTGACAATCAGCTCATGCATGTTGAATCTTTAGAGCCACGCAAGTTGTGTGCTATGTTGCTATGTGTCCTTGAATCTTGGTTTGACCATACTGTCCAATGGTCTTGCCAGTATCGTCATGGACATGCATGTACATCGGCCTTCACAGCTAAGACTTTCAGCTTGTGCTTGTCTTGGTTGTGCTCACCTTCCCCTCCTATCTTATCATATAACTAAGAACATTCCAAGTTGGAATGCTGTTGGAGTGCGCATGCAAGACTTGCTAGAGCTAATAGCCAGTTAGTTGTAGAAGGTCAGTACCGTCGGTTAGTGATGGGGCGTTCTGGCGAGATGGGGCGCTTTTGTGCTACTTGACGGTCCAGTACTAGTGTTTGAGTTTGAGTTTGATAGAAGAGTGTACTTGACTCTATTCAGTCTCACACACTACACCAATGTCATGCTGGCAGGCATGTGAGTTCACGTTTCCCCGGCCGTGTCGTCAACTCACTGCGAACGGTTCAAATAGCAACACCCGCCCAATAAGGGAAGTTGTGAGGACAAATGCGGGAAATTGGAACTGCAAACAACTTGTGTGTAAACTACTTCTACTTCTGCCTAAGCTAATGAAACATTTGCTGTTGCTGCTTCTGCTGCTGTTGTTTCTGCTGCTGTTGCTGCTGTTGCTGCTCTTGTTTCTGCTGCTGTTGCTGCTGCTGTTGTTTCTGCTGCTGTTGCTGCTTCTGCTGCTCTTGTTTCTGCTTCTGCTGTTGCTGTTTCTGCTACTGTTGCTGCTTCTGCTGCTGTTGTTTCTGCTGCTGTTGCTGCTGTTGCTGCTTCTGCTGCTCTTGTTTCTGCTGCTGTTGCTGCTTCTGCTGCTCTTGTTTCTGCTGCTGTTGCTGCTGCTGCTGTTGTTTCTGCTGCTGTTGCTGCTTCTGCTGCTCTTGTTTCTGCTGCTGTTGCTGCTGCTGCTGTTCTTGTTCTTGTTCTTGGTTTCTTCTCTGCAGTATGCCGCTTTATCGGCTGAGAACCAACGGTCTTACGGTAGCACCATTCGCCGTGTATCAGGAGGTATGGCAGGAAGCTTGTAGAGTCTTTGCTCAATGTTGTTTCGCTCTGCTGCAATTGATCTTCTCTTATCGTGCAAGTGATCAGCCATGCATGTGTACAGTGTGTACAGGTCAGGCCAGAGAAATTTAACCGCATCATGAATAAAGTAGCGCCGCACCCAAGTGTGCAGGGTAGTGTGTGTGTGTGTGCGTGTGCATGCGTGTGTGTGTGTGTGTGTGCGTGTGTGTGTGCGTGTGTGTGTGTATGTGTGTGTGTGTGTGTGGGTGGTGCTAAGGCCAGCGCTACTTTATTCATGAGGTTGAATTTCTCTGGCCAGGACTTTAGTGTGTGTGCACAGCCTGCAAGTCTGCTTGATTGAGAGACCTCTACACTCACAACTGACTACCAGTGCAGTACCATCGGTCGACGAAGAACTCGGGGGGGGGGGGGGGGGGGTCAGCCTCCTAGCCTAGGTCGTTCTTGTTGCTTGGTGAAATTCTAGCCTGGTCATTTCCCGGCGCTCCTTTCTTCGGCGCCCGACAGTCCTGTAGTGGAAAGTACTGCGAAAGCGCCCGGTTTCACGAAAGAGAGCGACAGAGCACCCTGCTGTCTCTAATTCACACTAATTCTCTTATCACTAATAGCCTCCTGCAGCACAGTGATAGCTTGAATTCTTTGTCTACAGGATACCTAGTAGTAGTGGTTTGGCTTATCTGAAGCAGAGTGAATCCCCTCTCTTGTTTCGCTGTGTCTGAAACCATGCTGTTTGCCTGCTGTTGATGATGTTTACCGATGTACAGCGAATCGTGCGCAGCAATGTAGCACCGATGAGTTTGAGTGCTGGATTTGCTATGATGTGGAAAGTCGCGAGTCCGGACCGTTGATCTGCCCGTGTGATTGCAAGGGAGGCACGGCTGCTGTGCATCACAACTGCTTGAAGCGATGGCTACTGGAGGTCAGTGCTACTACTAGTAGTATTGTACATGCAGTGCTGTAGTAGCTGACATCAGCCAGTGCTGCTACACTGTGTAATGACTTACTGATAGCTGACATCAGCCAGTGTATGCAGTGCTAGACTGTGTAATGACTTACTGATAGCTGCCATCAGGTAGTGTATGCAGTGCTAGACTGTGTAATGACTTACTGATAGCTGACATCAGCCAGTGCTACACAGTGCTACACTGTGTAATGACTTACTGATAGCTGAGATCAGCTAGTGTATGCAGTGCTAGACTGTGTAATGACTTACTGGTAGCTGACATCAGGTAGTGTATGCAGTGCTAGACTGTGTAATGACTTACTGATAGCTGAGATCAGGTAGTGTATGCAGTGCTAGACTGTGTAATGACTTACTGATAGCTGACATCAGGTAGTGTATGCAGTGCTAGACTGTGTAATGACTTACTGATAGCTGAGATCAGGTAGTGTATGCAGTGCTAGACTGTGTAATGACTTACTGATAGCTGAGATCAGGTAGTGTATGCAGTGCTAGACAATGCAGTTCTATGCACTGTAGCTGCAGAGAGTATGTGGGTACATGGTGGTGGTGGGGGGGGGGGGGGGGGGAGATATGTGATTCACGTATGTGTCTGTGTGGCGCCCGGAAGAAGGGGGGGGGGGGGGGGTGTGTGATATCTGATTCGCGCGCGTGTGTGTGGCGCCCGAAAGAGGGCGGGGCGGGGGGGGGGGGGGGGGGGGGGGTGATACCTGGTTCACATGCTCACCACTCTGACATGGGATATAATCATATTCCTTATCCCAGTGATCAGTGATGTGTGGGATATGGCATAACCCTAGTGATCAGTGATGTGTGTGTGTGTGTGTGTGTGTGTGTGTGTGTGTGTGTGTGTGTGTGTGTGTGTGTGTGTGTGTGTGTGTGTGTGTGTGTACATGGTGTGTTTTCTTTGAAAACCAAAGCGCAGGATTGCTTTTGATTGCCCGTTCATTGTAGCTTGTGTTGAATTCTTGCGCTTGGTACTAACTTTGATTGCACGTCAGCATGCTGGCACATTGTCTGTCTAGCCGTGCATCGTTTTAAAATGAAGTTCTGTGCTTCTGTGCTTCCCTGTGTCCATGTCTGTGTTTGTGTGTGTTTGTGTCTGTGTGTTTTTGTGTCTGTGTGTGTTTGTGTCTGTGTGTGTTGTGTCTGTGTGTGTTTGTGTCTGTGTGTGTTTGTGTTGTGTCTGTGTGTGTGTCTGTGTGTTTGTGTGTGTGTGTCTCTGTGTCTGTATGTGTTTGTGTGTGTCTGTGTGTCTGTGTGTCGATATGAGCAGCAAGGAGAGTTGTCTCAGCGCAAGGTCCCTCAGTGTGACATCTGCAAGAAGCCTGTGAGTGTAATTGCTCAAGATGCAACGTGTTTTTTTCTTCTTCTTTTGCATCAGCTGTTATCTTCCTCGTGCATTTCTATGGCTAATGTAGCTGTTGCATTTTGTTTGAGGGGCCTGGACCCTTTGTACTGCAGCATTTGCCCTGAGACTACAAGAGCCATGTTCTATCAGAGATATCAGTGCAGGTTTGCTGAGTATCAGTGCTGCAGTGGTGGTGGTGCTGGTGGCGGCGGCGGCGGTGGTGGTGGTAGTGGTGGTGCTGGTGCTGGTGCTGGTGCTGGTGGTGGTGCTGCTGGTGGTGCTGGTGGTAGTGGCGGTGGTGGTAGTGGCGGTGCTGGTGGTGGTGGTGTTGGTGGTGGTGGTGCTGGCAGTGGTGCTGGTGCTGGTGCTGGTGGTAGTGGCGGTGGTGGTGGTGCTGGTGCTGGTGGTGGTGGTGGTGGTGTTGGTGCTGGTGGTGGTGGTGGTGGCGGCGGCGGCGGTGCTGGTGCTGGTGGCAGCAGTGGACAAGAATTGATTATACATATTCTCCCGTACATGTACAGTGGAACACACGTCTTGTACATACCGGTACTCTGATCAAGACATACCTACTCTCTTGCTTTGTGCAGTCATCACAGTGTCCGGAGCACACCAGTATATTTATACATACTCAAGTGTGTTGGGATAAGGGGCTATCCGGCATTATCGATAATTTTCACGAAACGAAAAAAAAGTTTAGTTAGGACCCTTCCCCACCCACCCATACATGTATTAAAACAAAACTTTTTTTCTCTTCGTGTAAAAGATGGATAATTGTGGACGGCCCCTAAGAAGTACAGTGTTGCTAAATGAAATCCCGTCGCGTCGCTCAAGTACACGCCGGACGTTGTGCAGCCCTAGACCTGTCAACACTAGGCTGTGAAATAATGTAAGACACAAACTTGAGTGTCACGGCTGAATTAGGGGATGAGCGGCACTGCAACTTGGATACTTTTTTAAAGAACACTTTCCTGCTGCCCATCCTGGGGGTACGTCTTATCAGATTACTATGGAGTACTGACCCAGCAGTGTCTGTACATTGATGATACTATGGAGTACTGACTGGCAGTGTCTGTACATTGATGATACTATGGAGTACTGACTGGCAGTGTCTGTACATTGATGATACTATGGAGTACTGACTGGCAGTGTCTGTACATTGATGATACAGGTCCTCCCTCGTTAGTAGATAATCTCTGGGCCATCGAAAAAGTTATCTTATAACGAGACTTATCTTGTAGCAGGACTTGCAGCTAAAGGTGAAATAGGCACTTCTTCGTACTTACCGGGGCTACCCTCGATACAACATAATTTATCGATGCTTCAACTCGTTATAAGATAATTGAAAATCTCCAAGTTACTCCAACATAACTCTTCCTTGGATGCAAAGGATCGTCCATATTCACGAATACATAGACATAATACGTTTCCTCTTCCTGCTTTATCCTACGTGTTTTGGCCTTGGTCCTGCATGGTCAATATTATCTTATACTGAGGGTTTGGCACTCCAGGGACCTGGGCAAAGGGTCGTTATAACGGATTTTATGTACTAACGGATTATGTTGTAACCGGACCTGTAAACAGTTGTATAGACCACGTTTTGCCAGGGGATTTCAGATTTCTATTTACTAACGGGGGTTATGTAGTAACCGGACTCGTTATAATGAGGGAGGACCTGTACTATGGAGTACTGACTGGCAGTGTCTGTACATTGATGATACTATGGAGTACTGACTGGCAGTGTCTGTACATTGATGATACTATGGAGTACTGACTGGCAGTGTCTGTACATTGATGATACTATGGAGTACTGACTGGCAGTGTTTGTACATTGATGATACTATGGAGTACT